TTCTACCTACTTCTTGTTACCTACATATAATTGAAGCGTACCTAGAGATATAGTGCAATGGACACAACAGCCACGCACTTGATATGATAACAACATTTATACACACATATCACACCTTTATACCTTGTTTCAGGGTAGGTAGAGCGTTAACAACCGTAAAAACCTGACTGCGGTAAATTCAAAGTTAGTACGAGTTCTTAATTGGCAGCTTGTATGGAGGTATGGTCCCATCCTACCTAACTAACAAACGCCAATAGCAAGTTTGAAATAATATTCTATCACATGGTAGTTATGGCTAATTCAGAGCTGGAAGTCACCATCAAAAAAATGATGGGTTTCCCAGAAGCATAACTCGAAAAGTAGGTATAAGTCCTATCAACATCGACCCAAGAACAATTTTGTAGACAATTTTATAAGGATTATTTCTTACCTTGACAGATTTCTCATACCTCTAATAGTTTCCGAGAAAAATAAAGATAACTGAAATTTGGGACATAAAAGGGGGGGGGGGGGGTAAAGGGGGGAAGCAGCGGGGTCCAACTTGCTTCCCTTCTTTTCCTGAAGCTTACATATATAAGCTACACACATGCCAAGTTTCATGCTTTCTGCCAGATGGGACCATACTTCCAGCTAATCGCTCGTCTGTGGCAAAGTCCTATATAGGACCCGTACTAAGTGGTATTTTGCGATAAAAAAAAAACACCATCTTGAATTAATATTTTTTTATTATAGCCACTGTCAATCGCGCTGCTGAGACGAATCTAAAAACACAGTCACATCCGCCTAGCCGATTGGGCTGTAGCCCGTGAAAACGATATTATTGTCTACATACACACATATCCTCCAAAAACAATCCTCCGGCAGTCGGGTAAAATCTCGGGGCGCTTTCGCCACTGTTGACTTAATATAAATACTCAGATTGTGATATACCTAATGCCAGACGAGTAGTTTTTTCAGACTCGCTAAGATAAGAACTATTACGTCACCTTCATAAATATTTGCATAAACGCATTCGGATGTTGCTTGTTACTGACCTACTCTAGCTAGCTAGATGTTTATGTATTAAATACTAAATTTTAAAACACTTCCTGTGTAAAGTTTTCTGCTGCAAGCAGGATTTGAACTTGCGACTTTCGCCATCAGTACTGGCGACGCCTCCGCCATCTGGGCTACCGCGGCTCAATCATTGCCTGCGAAATTATGCAAATGTGTCTTAATATCAGTATCGCGTGCAATGCACTTTTAGGCGACAGACTGTCAACCTGTCACTATGGTGATACACAGTCTTCAGAAATTTTTTGTCAGACGTAGTGTAGATGGCCGTTTTTGTTACACTTTAAGCGGTATTTCACCAAATCAATAGATATAGTGATTCAAGAGGAAGGTTTAAATGCATAACACGAGCCGGAAAAAAGATTTTCCCGCGGGAAAAGGGGGAAAATGAGTTGCAGCGAATGAAGTCGCTAACGGGCTCCTAGTGTCTTCTTTTCTTATCGTATCTACCTAGTCTATGTCATCCCACTGCTGGGCAAAGGCCGCTATAATACCGTCATTTGAATAGGCCATATTTGACAGCTTTCAAAATCATGTTAATAGGGCAGGCAGATGATGCTATGACATAAGGTCTATTTTTCTTTGTTGACGTGTTTCCTACCGTACTATAGTGTATTATAAAACAATGTTTTTCCCTTTTCAGTACTCCTAGTATACTTCTCCGAGAGCATAAACGAGGTGGCGGCGAGGAACTGGGCGCTGTTCTCGAGACAGCAGTATTTCGACAGCAAAGGGCTGTTCATATCTGTGGTGTTCTCCATACCGATACTGCTCAACTGCATGATCATGGTGGTGAGTGGATTCAATGTGTTTTTGTTTTTTTATGTGTCTACAGAAAGACAAAGAAGTAGCACAAAGTAAGTATTGGCTGGCGCCAATCTAGAGAGCCGGCTTCAAGGAAACGTCCCTATGCTCACACAGAAATCCAAACGCCGTCGTTTACGTGAAATGTCGAACCGGTTCGAACCGGCAAGTAGCGAGTGTCAACAGCGTTCGGTGCGGGCGGACGACAAAATTACGACTCGCAGGTGCCAATATTTTTGTATAGTACGTTATAGTGTACGTTTGATAATTATAATGTAAGAAATGTACCTCAATTTGTTTGACCCTGTTACGTACGGCATATTAAAATTCAGAAAAAGAAAGTAGCACCCCTAGAGTGTAGGCATAAATGATCGGATCAAGCGGCGAGCTGTCCTCTAAATTCTCTATTTTGTGGAAGTAGGTAGTTGTTTGTCGTGATATGGATATACTTCTCTGAGAGCATAAACGAGTGAATTGGGCGCTGTTCTCGAGACAGCAGTACTTCGACAGCAAAGGGCTGTTCATATCTGTCGTGTTCTCCATACCGATACTGCTCAACTGCATGATCATGGTGGTGAGTGGATTCAATGTGTTTTTTATGTGCCTACAAAAAGACAAAGTAAGTATTGGCTGGCGCCAATCCAGAGAGCCGGCTTCAAGGAAACGTCGCTATACTCACACAGACATCCACTCGACGTCGTTTACGCGAAATGTCGAACCGGTTCGAACGAGCAAGTAGCGAGTGTCAACAGCGTTCGGTGCGGGTGGACGACAAAATTACGACTCGCAGGTGCCAAAATTTTTGTTTAGTATGTTATAGTGTACGTTTGATATAATGTAAGTAAGGTACCTCAGTATGTTGGACCCTGTTACGGCATATTAAAATTCAGAAAAATACAGTAGCACCCCTACAGTATAGGCATAAATGTTCGGAGGAAGGGGCGAGCTGTCCTTCTGTAATTTCTCTATTTTGTGGAAGGTAGTTGTTTGTCGTGATATGGGTATACTTCTCTGAGAGCATAAACGAGTGAGTTGGGCGCTGTTCTCGAGACAGCAAAGGACTGTTCATATCTGTCGTGATCTCCATACCGATACTGCTCAACTGCATGATCATGGTGGTAAGTGGATTCAATGTGCTTTTGTTTTTTTATGTACCTCATAAAACTCATAATTATCATTGGTCTCGTCTGTAACAGACGATTTATACAGTGTCTGAGGCAAGATTTTTCATGACTGTATAAGCCGATACGGGAGCGGCATGACTTTCCGCACGCTCTACAAGTGAAGGTAGAATTGGAGACTGGCACATGCATGTTTAGATGTCGTTTTTGTCTTTTGTTTGTACCTACATAAAGACAAAAAGACCAAGAAGTAGGTAGTTGTTTGTCGTGATATGGGTATACTTCTCTGAGAGCATAAACGAGTGAATTGGGCGCTGTTCTCGAGACAGCAGTACTTCGACAGCAAAGGGCTGTTCATATCTGTCGTGTTCTCCATACCGATACTGCTCAACTGCATGATCATGGTGGTAAGTGGATTCAATATGTTTTCGTTTTTTTATGTACCTCATAATATCATTTGCCTCATACGTCTGTGACAGACGATTTATTCAGTGTCTGTGGCAAGATTTTTCACGACTGTATAAGCCGATACGGGAGCGGCATGACTTTCCGCACGCTCTACAAGTAAAGGTAGAATTGGAGACTGGCAGCGTGTTTAGATGTCGTTTTTGTCTTTTGTTTGTACCTACATAAAGACAAAAAGATAAAGAAGTAGGTAGTTGCTTGTCGTGATATGGATATATGGGAGACCGGGTCAAAACCGTATATTTAACGGAAAACTTATGTAGCTCAGCCAATAATAAACATTGGGTTACCATTTGGTAAACTTTATTAAAGCATATAACCTGGTACACATTACACTGGTCATTAACTATTAAAATCAATAAGGAACGTAACAATTAGTCTTTAATAGAAATTCAAAAATTTCCGGTTTTACCCCAGGGGGTGGACAAAACCGTATACCTCCCAATCCTTTGCTGGTAGCTGCAACCAGATGATCTAAATTTATTCACCCGGTCTTGCAGCATCGATTTCGGTATGACATAACTTTGTGTCGCTTTTAAATAACGGAATTCACCACCAACCACACTTTCAATAGCATTTTGGCGCGCGCGCGCTAAATTCAAAACGAATTCGGAGATAACAGTGGTATACGGTTTTACCCGGGTATACGATTTTGTACGGGTCTCCCCTACTTCTCTGAGAGCATAAACATGTGAACTGGGCTCTGTTCTCGAGAGCAGTATTTCGACAGCAAAGGGCTGTTCATATCTGTCGTGTTCTCCATACCGATACTGCTCAACTGCATGATCATGGTGGTGAGTGGATTCAATGTGTTTTTGTTTTTTATGTGCCTACAAGAAGACAAAGAAGTAGCACAAAGTAAGTATTGGCTGGCGCCAATCCAGAGAGCCGGCTTCAAGGAAACGTCGCTTTGCTCACATAGATATCCACTCGCCGTTGTTTACGCGAAATGTCGAACCGGTTCCAACCGCCAAGTAGCGAGTGTCAACAGCGTTCGGTGCGGGCGAACGAAAAAATTACGACTCGCAGGTGCCTATATTTTTGTGTAGTATGTTATAGTGTACGTTTGATATAATGTAAGTAATAGTAGTACCTCAGTATGTTTGACCCTGTTACGGCAGAAAAAGAAAGTAGCACCCCTAGAGTGTAGGCATAAATGATCGAATCAAGTGGCGAGATGTACTTCTGTAAATTCTCTATTTTGTGGAAGTAGGTAGTTGTCGTGTGTTGATATGGGTATACTTCTCTGAGAGCATAAACGAGTGAATTGGGCGCTATTCTCGAGACCAGTATTTCGACAGCAAAGGACTGTTCTCTTCTCAACTGCATGATCATGGTGGTGAGTGGATTCAATGTGTTTTTTTATCTTCTACTTTTCGAGTGGGACACCGAGTCACTAAACGACTCGATGAACCCTGGTGTAAGAGTTTTCAACCGCCTAATACAAGTAGCAGACCTCTGACATGGTTGGGTAACGTAAATTAATCATAGACAGCAACCGGTACCGACGGATTTACGTGCCCGTTGAAGCACGGATAAATATCAACTTTGTGAAGTGACCCACCGGGAATCGAACCCGGAATCTTCTGCTATGCAAGCAGTCACACTGCCACTGCGCCACATTGGATTTTCTATGTATCTACCTACTTAAATACAAGGAGGTATTTGTTGGTCGTGATATGGGTTTGCAATGCGATGGATTAAAGAGCATGTAACGAAAATGAATATCAACTTTCGTCCCGTCGTTGTAAAATAGTTTAGTAGGTATGCTGCCCTAAAAACCTAGGTCTAATTTTATGCCATTCCTGCAAAACACGGAACGGTTTTCCTATACGCGTGGCGTGAAAATTATAGTAACCAGTAACAATTATTTTGGCAATGTGACTCATGAATTCTGCATGATTCTGGAAATAACATTTCTAAAATAAACATGGTTTGAAACAATGTTGAATAGCAATCTAGTGTTTATTTTACTGCAACCGTGTGGTGCAACTGCAAATATTTTACGGGGTACCAGTCCATGAAACTGAACAACTCCCTCCCATACAAACTGACCCGGCCGGCCAAAACATTTCATATGGGAGGTCCAAATTTGTTTTCACATTTTGACCTATGTTCCTTAGGGAAAGTTGTTCAGTTTTATGGACTGGTTCACCCCTTAAAATATTTGCAGTGATTTTTTTACACATTATTATGTTTATTTCAACTGTCAAACTATGTATGTTTATTTTATTTCCTTTTCTATTTCCAGGGATCGTGGCTGTACCAATCCACGCAGATAATGGCCAAACTAAAAACGGCGCAGCTGAAACAGCGGCTGAAAGAATTAAACATGCAGCAGAACCAGCACTGCAAGACCGAGTGAAGATACCGAGTCAATTACTGTATGTGATCTAGTAAGAGGTAATATTTTTGCTATAGTTGCTGTTGGAATAGATATTGTGTGTTATAACGTTGACGTGTCGGTAGAAGACAATAAAAGAAACATAATAGGCCCAGTTCTGATTCCACCTAGTTTCGATTCGACCCTCTCAAATTCCACAAAAAAATCGGTCAAGTGCGATTCGGACTCGCGCACGTAAGTGAATAAAAATGGCATAAAATCAGGTTTGTTGTATAAGAGCCTCTCTTAATTTTTATTTAATTATATTTTTCCGTGTATGTTGTCGTAGCGGCAGGAGTAACACATGATCTGTGAAAATTTTAACTGTCTAATTTTTACCGTTCATGGGAAACAGCCTTTGCAACAACATAAAAAAACTCGTCTTTTGTATTGCCCCCTTTAATTTCTATTTTATTCTAATTTGGAGTATTTGTTGTTGTAGCAGCAACAGAAATACGGCATTCCGTGAAAAACTATTATGGTTTATGAAATACAGCCTGCTGACAGACGGACAGACAGCGAAGTCTCAGTAATAGGGTTTCCATCCTTTGGGTACGTCACCCTAAAGGCTAGATAAGGCAATACTTCGGAGCGCGTGGAATCGAAACTGGGTGGAATCAGAACTAGGCCAAATTATACGGGATGACTATTTACCTACTTGTGGTCGGTACTGAAAACTTAGATTCAAACACTAATTCGATAGTCCTTTGGTGTCATCTGACTACAGGACAGAAATATGTGTTTCCCTCAGGGCAACAGAGATAGTAGTACCTATTTGTATAGTGCGCCTAAAAAGTTACAACGGGTGGCAGTAGTAAACACACAACCTCTCTGTCTACCAGCAGCAAATCGCCATTGACGAAGCTATTGAACCTAGATAACTTCTTATGCATTTGACGTCGGTATCTATGGAGCAACTGCTTACATTTTGACACTACCGCGCTGGGCGATACTCTATACCTTGCGTATTTATACTCAAGGGTCTCATTGTGGTTTTTGGTTCATATTTCTGTCCTGATTTCATAATTAGTAAATAGTCATTCATGCATTAAACGGTCAAATCAAACAAAAAGTATTCGAGTCTCAAATCAATTTTTAAATTGAAATATGGAGCTTAAAAGTAACACTGTATTATAAATCTCTTAGCTCGCACATTTTATATGCGATGCCCAAACTGTTTTTAAATCCGATCCGATATTTGTGGAAAATTATTTAGCTTCTTGGGGTGTTTCTTTCTGTTTTACTTCTCGTAATAAGTTCGATTTTCTTTTTTTTTTTTGCGATAACTAAGAAAGAAGCCCTTTTGACAATGACCTACAATGACAAACAAAAATTATAAGATGATTTTAAATAAATAAACGAGACAGAGCGAGCAAGCGAGAGAAAATGTGACAGTGTTACTTTCAAGCGAATTTCAATGCAGGGTGCTAAAAGAAGTATTCAATTTATATGATAATATCATGAAATGGGGACTGCGAAATTAAAAACATTGATATGTCGTAACACTATGACGCAATTGAAGTAAATAACATCTCATCACAGATGATGCTAGACTATAAAATAATTATGTTTCAGCAATATTTGTCAGTCGGGTTTCCCTATGTACTTAAAGCCAAAAAATCCACCTACCCATTTAAAGAACTAACTTATGGGTTTTCCACACAAATACTTGACCGTACCTCAGCCTCACAAATCTTGCCTAATTTATTTTAATTATTACTGCTTCACTGACATTGATGATGATGACGTATTGCGAATTATCAATAATATTTTGTACTGGTAATGTGTAAACCGTTGGTTTATTAAATGATTAATAAATAGCTTAAACATTTACCTTTATGTTCATACTAGCTACCCGTCAGCGGTTTCACCCGCTGCAACCTATTATTCCGCGGGAAAAAAGCATTATTCGCCAAGAGATGTCGCTGTTAGTTTTCGGCGAAAACGTTTAAAACGCGAATCGGCACAGTCACGCCACCTATTTCAAAAATATTGGAAAATGCGTGATCCCGTGGGAATGAGACATTTTTCCGTGGTAAAAAGTATCCTATGTGTTATTCCAGATGCCCTTTTATATTTCTGCAAAGTTTCATGTCAATCTAATCAGCCGTTTTTGCGTGATGTCGTAACAAACACACACACAAACATCCGCCTTTATAATATTAGTAGGATTCATAACAGGTATATCAAATGTGATTTTTATGTCCTCACAAGACTAATGACATAAAACCAATATACTACTTAAACAACTTATAATGATTTATTGCAAAGTCTTAACTAAAAATGCTATACTATACACACTCACACACATCCTAAACCTTTGAATTTAATCAAAAAATTCCAGTTTATGCATTTTTTGTATTGAATATTTTTTAATTTTCTTCTTAAGTTTTAAACGTAAGTACTTAACTGTATCATAAGTTTGCCAGTTTATATGCAATGTATTCATCATACTTATCCACTTTTCATACTATGTATACTTTTCCTTATATTTTCCTCACTGCACTTTAATTTACTTAAACAATATTACAAAATGCTTGTGCCATTATTTAATCCAAAAATAGTAAGAACAAGAATTTAAATGGTTTTTGTTTTCATATAATGATTTTAATTGTAAAAATAATGATAAATCGTGTGATAATATGTATTAAGTAAGACATATTTGTTATTATAACTATAATATAACTCGCGCAGATAAAGAATGAATCCCGAATTGGCAAAATTGTTGTTTTCCTCTATCATATTACGTGACATATGAGCGGGATGTCAACAATAATATTGTCATTCAAGATCCATTATTTATTTGCGCAAATTATATAACTATAAATTGGTGCATTGATAATTAAATTTATTAATTATTTAGTGGTGTAGTTTAGTTTAGTTTGTAGTTTAGCTTTATTTACAGCTCGTTTTCCTTTCTTATATGTACTACACACATTACAATTGTAATTTAATTTAATTTCAACAAAAGCTATTAAATTTAAATTGAGCGGCTCTTGTTCGTTTAATAATACATGATGTTGTCTTTTTCCCTTGCGGGGTAGGCAGCAAAGGCTGGTATCACCGATGAGTTTAATGTGGCTGTAGGCTTGCACCAAGGGTCAGCTTTGAGTCCTTACCTCTTCCTGTTGATAATGGACGCTTTGACGTCAGACATACAGGAAGAGGCACCCTGGTGCATGCTGTTCGCCGATGACATTGTACCTACTCGTCGGTGAAAGTAGACATGAGGTACAGAGCAGACTGGAAAAATGGCAGGAAAAGCTGGAGAGTGCTGGCCTGAAAATCAGCCGAACCAAGACTGAACAAATGTTTTGTGATTTCGGCGGTCTCTCCGGCTATGCTCCGGTAGCGCTGAATGGCGTAACCTTACGATTCTGCTCCGACTTCGGGTACCTCGTTTCACTTCTGCAAGGCGATGGTGAGATAGACCGGACTATCAAGTACAGAATAAATGCAGGATGGATGAAATGGCGACAGGTCACGGGCACAGTGTGTGACCCCCGAATGCCCCTCAAACTGAAGGGCAAGATTTACAAGACGGTGGTCAGACCTGTCGTCATGTATGGATCAAGTGTTGGCCTACAAAGGTGACGGATGAAAGACGATTACATGTATCTGAAATGAGAATGTTGAGATGGATGTGGAGTGTGACAAGAATGGATAAAATAAGGAATGAGTATATTAGAGGAAGTTTAAAAGTTGCACCTGTGACAGAAAAGATGAGAGCTAGCCGTTTATCGCGGTATGGGCAAGTTATGAGGAGGGATGAAAATCATGTGACGAAAAAGGTAATGAATATGAATGTGGATGGACGCAGAAGGAGAGGAAGACCTGAAAAGGTTTGGATGGATTGTGTAAAAGATGATATGAATCAAAAAGGTGTAAACGAAGATTTGACGGCTGATAGAGATGAATGGAAGAGAAAGACATGTTGCGCCGACCCCAAATAAATTGGGATAAGGGCAGGCAGATGATGATGGGTAGGCAGGCAACGCGTAATCGCCCGTAAATACGGTCACTTAAGTCTAATACTATATTCTTTGCCTTTTTCTTATATTACACTTACAAATTGTACAAGATGTAACTAAAGTTAGGATTCCTTTGGATCATAAAAAATATTAACAAATGTTTTTTATGTTCAGAGAATCAATTTTAAAAAAATATGTCAAAATGATTGCATAATTGTTGAATTAATGTTAACTAAATTAATATTATTTTATAAATTATTTTTATTTTGAATGG